AGTAGAAGAAAGAAGTATGTGCATGAATGAGAGGAAGACAGGTGGAAACGTGAACATGCAAGAGGAAGAGACAGTGAGGGGAGGTGAGTTTGAATATCTAAGGTCAAGCATCAGAGAGTGTTCAAGAGAGGTGAAGAGGACAGCGTAGGCAGGGTGGAGTGGGTGAAGACGAGCATGCAGGGTGATTTGTGACAGAAGAATAGCAGGAATAGTGAAAGGGAAGGTTTACAAGATTATAGTGAGACCTGCTATGATGTATGGTTTGGAGACAGTAAAAATAAATAAAATAAAATCCTTATTATATATGTATTTAGAACTACCTATCAGAAGGATTGGCATTAAGTAGATAACGTAGGCAGTGTGAGCATACCTCTTCCTGTTAATGAACATCTACTCAGCTCGTCTGATGTCTCACACTGCTAACCCTTCAGTCACCACCCTGTTTCTCCAACCTTCAGCTATTTTTGCCAGACATGAAAAGCACTCAATCTGCTATGCTGACTGCTGACATACCTTAAAGACTTGATTCAGAAGTCTGTTGTGGATGACAGAAGCGGCACACATTACTCCATAGGCAAAGAGGAAGGCACGGAGCGCGGTGAACACGGTGTTGGCCACAGCAATGGAGCCGTAGACCGTCAGGTAAAACTTAACATCTGCATCGATGTCGTTAGAGAGAAACGTGTGGCCAGAGGGCACTGAAGACCTGGATGGGTAGAGGTGAATATCTGATTTTAGTCAAAAGACTGAAGTAAGACAGGAAGAAGTCAAAGTTTAAATCACAGAACTAAAAGCAGTTTTTATTTTCATTATTCAAAATGAATGATAAACTTTGTGTAAGTCTTTACATCTGTACCTTTCAAAAATAATATATAAATGAATATTTTAAAATAAATCATCATTATCTCACGGCTGAACTGCATGTTATTATTATAGCATGTGCTCTTTTAAAATTGGTCACAAATTTTGTGTTTTAAAGTTTATTCTGGAACAATGATAGCAAGGCATCTTGGTTGTGTTACCATTCACAGAATCGTTTTCAAAATGTTGCCAATTGGTCGACTCACATGAGCCTGCCAGGTGAGAAAAGCAGCAGATGAGGTGAGCTGAAGGCAGGTAACGAAGAATCATTATTCCCAGTGGAACCATTGTGTTTTAGCTCAGAGATCCAGTAGGACAGCCACCAGTCAGACACATTTTTAGATGCTGATTTACACACAAACACACACACACAAAGTTCTTATTAAATTAGAAATGAATTTAAAGCCAGAAGACAGTAATTATTTTTCTTTTGGGGACAAAATACCCTGATGCTTTAAATAATAATCCTATATCACCCAAGTATCATACAGGTCGCCTGGACTTATTTTGTAATGTTGGCAGTAAAATTAAAATATAATTCTCATCTTTAAAAGATGAAAAAATGTTGAACACAGAGAGAAAATCTTGGAGAAAATAAAATAAATACAAACTGCAATAAAATATAACATTCTCAGTACTTTCTGAAAAATTTGCTAAGCGTCAACAGTGTACAAAGATCATAAAAAGCAATCCAAACCTTGCATGAGGAGCAGAGAGACTAAGACGCAGGAGGCCAGGACTCCACCCACAGCGGCCCAGTAGGTCTGGTAAACTCTCCATGCCAGCCTGCCCACCTGTTTCTGCTCTGCCCCCGAGAGGTCAGGATCATTATCCACATGTAGCTCAGGCAATGAACTCATTTCCCCTTCAACCTGCTCCACGCCATCTGCTCACAATCAACAGGGGCCAAACCAAAAGGATTATAAGAGTCCCAGAAAGAAGAGCTGAATTTTGGATTTGTTGAGATTTTGTTGAGATATTGTTATTGAAGAAGATGATGACAACAATGGGAACTCTGGACTTGTAAGAGATTATACATGCGCCACTGTTTTTGTTTGTCATAATGTGAGGTGAACACACCTTTCTCTTTTGTGTTGAAGTTGTTCTTCTGCTTTTTCTGGACTGCCTCCACCAAAGGAAGGACTTCTGCTGGTGTCCCTGTTTAACACAGAGGAATAAAAAGGCCTTTTATTCCACAGATGTTCCACCTTATAATAATAATAATGGATTGGATTTTATATAGCGCTTTTCAAGGCACCCAAAGCGCTTTATGCCACTATTCATTCACTCTCACATTCACACATTTGGGGTAGACTGACAGAAGCTGGCCGACACCAGTAGGTGGTAGGGTAAAGTGTCTTGCCCAAGGACACAACGACCAGGACAGAGAGCCCGGGGATCTAACCGGCGACCTTCCGGTTACAGATGCGCTTCCCAACCCCCTGAGCCACTTACAAGTTGGTGCTCTTCTTGCATGTAATGCTTAACTAATGAAGTGAGCTCAATATAAACAACTAGACAAAACCAAAAAGCCTTTTAATAAATGTCCTGTATCTGTACAATAGCCGCTCATTTTTTTTTACTTGGCATATGGACACATTATACAAGACAACATGGCACTCTAAGAATTATAAATAAAAATCAAAGTCTGAGATGCTAAAGATGGCGGTTGTCCCGCCTCGTTACCCAAAAGCCAATCAACAGTTTAGGTATAAAGCATATTAGCCAATCACATTATTCTGTGGATAAATGTACACTTCAGCTATGTGGAGGCATCTTTTTCTACTTGTTATTGTTCTACAGATGTAGAGATGAGTACTTTTTTCAATTATATTTTGCCTAAGTGCATATAGAACATTAATTTTAATTTGGCATGAGCAGATTCACTGTTAGTGGTCTGGACTGAGATATGAATGAAGCTGTAATATTGTGAAACTGCACATGCACAAGCAGAAGCTGTGGGATGAAAAATGCTTTTCTGAACTGTATTTTGAAGCAAAAATGCTAAAGTTGTTGGGATTTTTTGTATTTGACTTCCACTTCTATTGCATGCAGTTTCTATGACCCACTGATCAATGCAATTGTGAGTTATGACTTTCTCCCCATCCAACTTCAAAATAACTTACGCTGCTGATCTGTGACACTTGTTTCTAAAAGGACTTTAAATCATTTAGAAGTTACATTTATACAAATGTCACCAAGATTTAAAGCAGACTTCATTTTCTACCTGTTTTGATGATTGCTCCATTGTCCATGAGGACAACCACATCAGCTTTGTCCACAAACTCTATGCGGTGTGTGCAAAGGATTCTGGTCTTCCCTCTGAGGAGCTCCATGATACATTTCTTCATAAGGTGTTCGGCCACATCTGCATCCACTGCTGCCAGTGGATCATCGAGGAGGTAAATATCTTTGTCCTGCAGGAGAAGCAGAAAAAAGGAAGGGGAGGCAACATCACATTACACAAGCATATTACATATAAACAGCTTTTTTTGGCTTTGTAACTATTTGTTACAAGAAACTGTTAACATGCAGTTCCCTCAAACAAAATTAAAAGCTCTAAACGTTTACCTGATAGCTTTCAGTTTTTATCAATCTGTGCAACAGAAGGAAAAATATAATTCTAATATCATTTATCCTTGTTTACTGCAGCCTAACTCATTTAATTGTAAAACCTCCTCTGCGCCTCTTAGAGTGTGAAGCAGATGGCTGGATTGTGCTGAAGACTCACCATGTAAACAGCTCTAGCAAGTGCCAGCCGGGCCTTCTGTCCTCCACTCAGAGTCACTCCGTTCTCACCCACTTCAGTCTTGTCACCATTTGGCAAAACCTGCAGATGCAGAAACAGAGCAACCAAAGCCCTGAAAACCAATTTATTTAACATTTTAAACAATCCCAGAAACTCCATGCAAAGCACAGTGAAATCAGTGTGAAGAAACGTAAACAATAAGAGTGTCACAATCGTACATTGAGGTCATCTGAGAGGGCGCAGGCCTTGATCACAGCCTGGTAGAAGGCAGCATCGTAGTCTCTGCCAAACAAGATGTTGTCTCGTACTGATGCATGCTGGATCCACGGTTCCTGCGAGGCCAAACCAAAGCCAACCTCCCTGTCTGCAACATAGAGCACTCCAGTCAGCCTGCAGAGACAAGTGGAAGATGGATAGACCTTAGTCACACATTATTAATCCCAGGTTGTGTCAGTGCACTTAAAATCACTAAAACCAGATTCACTATTGATTTTATTGACTTTTTTGGTTCCAACTAAGATGAAAAATATCATCTAGAGCAGCATAAAGCCCCTGACTGCCTATTAATCACCTAAGCAAACCTTTTCATATTGGGAAAGGGAATATTGATGACTCGACAACATTCTTCATATGTAAATTAAGTCATAAGTGATAATATTTTCAATAAAAGTTTCATAAGCTGTGTACCTATTAAGCTCTCCAGTCAGAGCAGCCAATAAGGAGCTCTTTCCACAGCCGACCTTCCCAACCACGACCACCAGAGAGCCCTGAGCCAGACAGAAGATAGCAGATGTCATGTCTGTACTAAGTCAGCTCCAAACACCTGCTGTTAAAACATTTTGGTGTCAGTGCGTTTTTGCAATTTAAATATTCATATACAATTTTAGGGTGTTGAATACTGAGCTTATATCACTGACAGGAGACGATGAATTTCCAACTATTGGGATTGTTTTAAAGCACAATCCCAATAGTTGCTTGTACCTTGGTTATGTTTAAATTGAGACTGTGCAGCTGCAGGCTTCCTTTAGCTCCTCCAGACTCTTCCTCTTCGTTTGGACTGCTGGGTTCCTGCCATGAAAATGATCCCTGGCTCAAAAGGACAGATGTCTGGCTGTCTTCTGGAGACACTGGGCACAGATGTGGTATTTCAGCACAAGAGAAACATTTCATAGATTTAAAAAAGCAAGTTTGGCTGATGAACTATGTACAGTTGGGTAAAACATTTTCTTTAGTTTCTGTGAACTTTACTTTTTGAAAAAATAGCATTTGATGCAATCACTCAAACAAATACTTGATTAAAGCAGAAAATAACTTCATCTAATGAGCAGAAGCTGTTCTAAACATTCATAAAAACTGCTTTTTCCTTGAATGAACAAAAAAGCACGAGGACCTGTTTCACATCAAAATCAAATACACCTCCACACAAACAAAGTAGCAAATCAAGCAGTACCCTACCCAGGGCATAGTATGCCTGCAGGTTCTGGTTGGTTAGTTTAAAGAAGCGCTGGATTCGTTCCAGAGACACTTTGGCTTCCAGGACTCCGTTGAGCACCCAGGGGAAAGCATTGAGTGGGATGATCAACATTCCTACAAGGGCAAGTGTGGTAAACACCTGCATGGGATGAGAATCACATTTACAAGAATGCACTCTTAAAAAGTTATCACAAGTTATATAGTCCATTGTTATATATGCATTCATACAATCATTCACAAGAGAGCATAAAACTAGCTTAAAGAATGTCTAAGTTCAAAGCCACTGATATCCTTTTTACTAGGAATACAGAAATATAGGTACAAAAAAGGTACAAAACATTTTTTTTCTATTCTGAGAATTATTTAATAAATTAATATATTTATCTCAGTGGCAATTTTTTTTCACCATTGTCCTTGACTGTCATTTTGGGGAATTTTTCTGATGGTCCAAATCCATCCAATCCTGATCATGAAGCGTGCTGAACACTTTTCTGTGCAGGATATAAATCCCCTGAAGCTCAATGTCTAATATGCAAATAAAACTGACTTGATTTTACTTGTGCCTATTGAAATAAAATAACTATTACTGCTATGAGTTGTTAGTCATTTGAACATTATTGCTCACTGTGCAGCAAATCCACCTCAACCTTTTATGGCACTTAAATAATACAAATTATTATTCTAAAGTTGTCCAATTGTAATGACTGATTAGAAAAAAGATGGAGAAAAATTCTGTTTGAAGGTCTTTGATGCATTGGAGGGAGCTGGTTCAAGCAGACAACTCCAACTGTGGTACTTATGCATGTACCATGTCATCAAACACACCCTCCCTTCTCATCTCTCCCTCTGACATTTCATTTCCGCTGCTGCCCTCTTTTCCTTTTTTTTTTTACTTATTAAATACGGGACAGACTTGACTAGGGAAAAGAAAGGGGAGAAAGAAAGAGGGAAAGAAAAACAGCGGAAAAGAGGGACGGGGTAAAGGGCAAAAAACAAAAAAACAACCAAATAAGCAGACAAAAAAATACAAATATCGATCACCTGGATCACCTGTTAAGAAAGAAAAAAGAGAAAACAAGCAGAAGAAGAAAAAAAGAGCAACATAATAAACAACATCACGATGATCTATGGGAATATAACAGTAAATACTAAATATTAAACATTATTGTGCAGCACGTAAGATCAACAGCGCACAGTGTGCTTTGAGGTAGGAGCCAAAAAGGGTGTCTTTGTGTGTGTGAGCACCCGTGTGTACACCTGTGAGCATGGACGCACTTGTTTTTAAAAGGTTCCTTCATGTAATGATCTGCTAGAGGGTGTGGGGGGGCTCAAAACTCCAGACATCCAGAGGTGTGCCCGTGAGCTCCGCCGGCAGCCAGCTGTGCCAGAGTGACCGAGTCCCAGGCCGAGAGGCCGAGGGCACCCCATCCCTGAAGTGGCCCGAGCGAGCCCCAGGCTCCAGGCCCCGATAAGCAGCCACCAAGGAGTGAGCCGGTGTGTACCTGGATGCCCATCCCCAGACACAAAGAAACACCAACACACCGATGTCTGAGGGCGTCTGCCACTGGTAGGGGAAGTGGTGGGGGAGATAGGCCTCCATACCTTGGAGGAGCTGAGATGTCCCCAGAGAGGTGGCGTCTGATACCCGACCTGACATATAGACACAGACATACAGGCACACACAGATACAAACATCTATTCCCACCCTCATGCTCTCATATGCAATTACTCAACACTCACCCAACGTGGAGACAGACATAGAGAGACACTGTACACACAATCACACTCCCCAAGCGTACTCTAAGCCCCGGGTCTAGGTACCCTTGCTCCTTAAGGGGGAAATTGCACCAAGACCCAGGTAGTGTTACCCTTTTCCCTGGGGTGGAGAGAAGCAGACTGCCCCGTCTCCGCAGCAGCAGGGAGGCCCCACATTCCAGACCCCAATTGGACGGCCAACTTCTCCTCCCAGCCCCCCCGCTCCAGCAGCTGCCCTCTTTTCAACCCCTCCACCACTCCAGCATCTCAGGTGTTGCTCTTGTCAGAGTTATTATTTTAAATATGTTTATACAGTAACCCTACATTCCCTAATTCTCTACAAAGCTCACTCAGCATCAACACAGCAGCCAGTTTACCTTTGCTGCCGTCAGCTGGTGTCCAAGCAGCACATACGTGACGAAGGTCAGGATGGAGATGACCACAGGTAGAGCAGCCCAGGTATACACACACAATGCATCCAGGTATTTGACAACCTTAAGGTGGGACAGCTCCTCTTTGCGACAGTCAGCCACCTTCTGTGTGAAATGAGGCTCCCAGCTATAGAACTTGATGACGCGAATGCCGAAGAGGATCTCTGTCATTAACTGGAAATAAGTTCAAAATTAAAAATAATCTGAATCTCAACAAGATTTTTCCCTGGGTAGCTTCATAAAAGTATATAAATCAACTCAGTATAATATTAAACATGCCGTACCTTAACACGGTTATCCTTCCACATGAGCATCTTTTTATTGTTGCTAAGGATGCAGGAAGCAAGGAACTTGTTGAATGGCACCAGCAGCAAAGCTACGGACAGTCCTCCAAGGAAAGCTACACCCACCTGCAGATATAGCAAGTAAAGGGTGACAGCTAACCGAAAGGGCAGGCTCCACAGCTCATGGAAGCTTTGGAAGAAGTTAACCACACGGTCGGTGTCTGTGCTCATCAAGTTCACCACCTCTCCTAAAGTAAAGCCAGCCAAGCTGCAGCTGCTGACTCTCAGGGCTTTGTTGTAGATGGCCGTCACAAGAGCAGCTCGTGCTGACAGCGCCACCTTGGAGACCTCGAAGACAAAGATGTTTCGCAGAACAGAGCACAGCAGGGTGGTAGCAAAGAGCCCCAAGGCACACCAGACACCCCTGCTGACTGGGGCACCTTTTTCCTCCATAAAATTCACAAGACTACTGAGGAGCAGTGGACCTGCAAAGCTCAATATGTTGACTGTCACCTTCAGCAGACCAAGGATGTAATACCACTTCCCAAACGCCTTGTGTAGCACCTTCAGCAATCTTACATCACCTTCCAGCTCCAGTGGTTGGTCCTGGTTGTGTAAACTCCTGCTGCCACTCAGGAGGTTTGTGCTGACTGGTGTGGGCCATTGATCCTCTTGGTAAGTGACTGGTGATCCTTGCCAGCAGGCTTCCCAGCACTGGTGAAAATACCGACAAATCACACTAGTTCTAAGTTTCTGGGGAAGGTGATATACATCGGCTGGTCTGTCCAGTTCACATCTCTGCCCTCGCCTGAGGAGAGGGGTGAGCCACAAGTAGAAGAGTCGAGATAGGCAGTCACTCCCGTCCTCAGCCACAATCTCCCCAGTCTCCAGCTGGGTGTTCTCTGGGATGAGCGGAGAGCCATCAACATCGTTAATATACAAAGTGTACCCAGCATCACTGATGCAGGGGAAAGCAAATGCCAGGAGGTAAATGAGAAAAAGAAACGTCCGTACTGAGGCAAGAACAAATCGGGCCAGTTTAAGAGGTTCAGCTGGGTTTAAATATTCCTTGTTTTTGGAGTAAATTATCAAGTTGATGACAAGGTTGGGGAGTAACAGAAGCACCAGGAGAAGCAGCAGTGTAGGTCCTCTGGTTCTCTTAAAAACAGTCCTCTGGAGCACTGTTATGACACTGAAGTGGACCAGCCAGGCCAGGATTGCACAGCTGCCAGCTAGGACGTCCAGGTACATGTCTCCCTGCTGGAGGACACTCACCAGGATGACATCTGCAGTGTAGAGTAAGGCAGCCAGCAGAGCTGACACGAGCCTGAGTGTCCAGCCACACGGGGGAGACGTCTGGAGGTGGCTGCATCTGGAAAGCATCAAAAATGTGAAAATATAGACACAATTTTTAGAATCATCGGCATTAGTTTTATAGGGTGCCCCATTCAATGTTTAAGCTGCGTGTTTTGAATTAAGCCAAAAACTGGACAACACAGAGAAGAGTCCAAAAAAGATGGGAGGGTTTCTTGTTTATAAAGAATTGTTGTTACATTAAAGTAAAACATACTTCATCAGAAAATCCACTGCAAGGATATGATATGCATGTTTTTTTGTAACTACAACTTTATTATCCGCTAATAAAATTGCAAGATTGGAAAAGTGTTGTTGATAAGGACCTGGTATCAATGCATGACCTACCTTGACATGCTGAGGTAGCAGGCACTGAAAATGGCCATCCCAGCATGGGGCAAGACACCAAGGATGAGCTGGTTAAAACAGGGGCTGATGCATTCATTCTGCCACAGAGGAAGAGGATCCTCTTCATCGGTATGACAGAGGCCTGCAATCAGGTCTGTTGGCCCAAAGTTATTCATCCTTCTTCCTACTTGACGGCTGTCATTCTAAAAGTTATCTGTAGAGGAAAAAATAATATTATTTATCAACTTTTAAAAAAGGTAACAAGGGTGTTTCAAAGAAAATCCACAGGGTAGTTATTATTCTAGCCAACATTATTTTTAAAAAAAGAAGAATACAACAATTTGTTGGCACTATCATCATCTTCCTATCAGTAAATAAGACAACATTTTACCATTGGCAGAGGCCACTGATCATCTGTTATGTCCCGTCAATTCTGCAGTCCATTTTTCTGAGATCCAGGTTCAATAATTCACATATTTGTTCATAAATCACTGGATTGAAGACAGTACGGATAATTTCAGTAATGAAAAGGTGATAAAACTACAAAATAAACAAAAACTAATGTACTAACAGCAGCTATCAGCTAAATTTTAAACACAGCTATGTCCATGAATTTTGTAATATGTGCACACCTAATGAAAGTGAACATATTTTCCCAAAGCCAAAGTTTGAAAAATGGCAGTATAAAAACAGTATAATAAATAACCGGATTATAGTTTAGGTAATAGTCCTGTATGATTAATTTTATTGCAAGAAAAAAAAAGGGGGCATCCATCCATTTTTTTAGCCTCTTATCTATTTCAGGGTAAGTGAAGTGGCTGAGTATGGAAAAGAGGAGGGGAACACCTGGGACGTCGTTTTTTTAAGGTTGTGTAGCTGAGCGTTTAAAAAAAATAGGTCAAAAGGTATGGAAATTTGTGTTATTTTGAAATACAAGCTATGGTCATCCTCAGCTTGATCAAGAACTTTTCATATTTCATTCTGAAATGTTCAAATCCAAGTAAACAGTTACATTAAGGATATAAAATGCAGCTACTCTTTCGATAACTGTGTATTTTATGCCTGTGACAGAACCATTAGCTGTTCATTTACTGCAAAGAAAATGTACGGCTTTAATGTTTTCAGTAACATTCCTGTTTTCTTGTTCACCAGATTGTTTACCAAATAAACCTTTCGTGAAAGACCCGTTGTTATAGTACAGAGTTGTGTGTGAGCCCTTCAAGAAGTTTAAGGGGCAAGTTAACAACTCTGGATTAAAAAAAGTTAACATACAATTTGTTGCAATTTTTTAGGTGTTGTTGCTCCAACATTCACAGCACTAACCTTTAAGGAGTGACGAAGCAAAAAGAAACATGGAACGACAGACAGGCACATTTATCCAGTCTTCCTGACTGAAACACCCTCACACTAATGTAAACAAATTAGGCTAGCGAACTAGCTTAGGTAACGGAATATTACGCTATTAAGTTTTTTTGATGTTACCGCATGCACTATGTAAATAGAAACTTTAGCGAGCTAGACCAACTATAAATACAAGTCGACATACAACCAATTTAAGAGCGTTTAGACCACAGGACTTTAAATGTTACCGGCTTTCATCTAGCTAACAGGAAATGCATCTGTTGATTTCTGATGACGAGTACAAAGAGCTTTTCAAAATAAATGCTCGATGAAAAAAAACAGTACAAATAAATGCTGATACTATTTCTACTATTACTGCTACTACTACTAATAAAACTGATGATGATGACTAATAATAAAATAATATTAATAATAATTCAAAAAATCATGGGAGCAACAACAAACCCGGAATTCAAAGTCATTAAATGTTTTTTCAAAACAGAAATATAGATTAACCTTGAGAAATCTGTGTATAAACTTATTTAACTTGACCATTAGTAGAGTGTTCTCATGTTATGATATAGAATTCCTTTAAAAATTATTTTAAAAAATTGTTATGGCACTAAAATCAGTAATGATGCTTCTTTAAGGCTTAATTATCCAAATAAGGCTGTTACAGCCTACCAGGCATAAAAAAAATGTGCTTGGTTGTGATTTATTTACACGAAGACCACGATTATCCTTCTATTCCTGACAAACAATAATCACACTAAGTATGAATATAATTAATCTATTATTAGTTCCAAAATGAAAGTTAAAAAGAGTGACGCAGTTGATAAGGTATGAGTTCTTTATTGAGGGGGGGTGATGGTAGAAAAGGAGCAAACTATGTTTTAGCACCTTTATACAACTTAGAAAATTAATTGCTGGTTCTCTTGGTTCTCCTGATATACACACAAAAAAAGGTTTGTAGAACACTTTATGACATATAGGCTTGGAGAAGAAGCATTTCATTCACAGAAACCAAGCAACAGAAATGACTTAATTCAGGGGAAAAAACACATTATATTTAATTACAATCAACATTAAATTTACAAATTTTGGAACCTGGGAGTTTAATCAGTGCACATGACATTAGCATGTAACATAAGTTAAAAACACAAAACAAAATTTTACAAATGTTGTTACCTGGAATTAGAAAAAAAAACATCTTTAAATACTGGGTGCAGCTGTCTAAGGCATCTTTAATTCATAGAAAAAAGATCTAGAAGTCTTATACAAAGCAGGAATGAAGCTATACAATGTCACATATATATGTTTTTTTCCTTAAAACACTGTACAAAGTCCACTTCCTTCGAGGCTGGCTACGCCAACCACAAAACTATGCAGCTTACCAATTTTTAATATCCTACATTTACCGTGTCTGACAGACACGTTTTATTTACATATTCAGACATGAAATACAAACATAAATATGAGCAGCCTCTGTCTCTCTCTCTCCCAACGTCACCCTTTTAAAGCACTTTGTTCAAAGTGCTTTAAAAACAAATCGGACTTGAGCTTTTTTGGTCAAATTTCTCTGCTTTGCACAACCTGTAGCAAGCCTGCACGATCTACCAGAAACAAACCTCACTGTGAAGCTGCTCTGCTGGATAATTTGACCAAAAAAAACCCTTGTTAAGCAATGACTTGATGTACTTCTTAAAATAACTCCCCGGCAATTTCAGGCTTCAAACTCACTGCTGACTTGTTAGAAAACGGTCAGCTTATCTTCATAACATCAAAATCACTGAGCAAATGTACATTTTCTGTAAAGCAAATGAGATTAAAGAAAGTTATATCAGTACTGTGCAGCAGGGCTAATGCTGGTCATCTGTACATCACAAAAACATCTTAAGTGTTAATTTAGAATTAAAGCCATCATATAGCTGGAAAACATTGGAAAACTCATAGAAGGCCTGAGAAAGCTTTATTTTTTTTTTTCCTGCTTTTTTGCATCTTGTGACATGATTGTCAAGTCAGGCCAAATAATTAAAAGTCTGATCTTATATACAGCAATGCATAGGCTACAATTCATCAAATCTGAACAATGAAAGAAAGACTAAAGTGTAGTTTTGTTTGTTTTTTAAATGAGTAAACTAGGAGAAAGTGTTGCAGGTACCACAATTTTAGGTTCTTTAGTTTGAGAAGGATGAACATGTTTCCTGCCACGATGAAACTTGAACTATTCATGTTAAAAACAGGTAATAAAAGAAGCAGAAATCATTAAGTTTGTCAAAGTTAAATGTCAACTATGAACATGCAACCATTTAAGAACTCAAATAAAATCAATCTAAAACTAAGACTGCTTTGACTTGGAACTAATGTGATTAATGACTGGATGGCTAAACTTCAGGAGCTATACAAAAATAAATGGCAATCTGATACACAGCCCTAGAAGTGAGTGTACATGTCTTGTTATACATGGTAAATAACCAACTATGTAGAAACAAAGTGTGGACCACAGATGCAAGATGTTTTGCATTTGAGTTATCAACTCTTCTTACTGCTAATATTTCACCAAATTAAATCTTTAGCGTCTAAACTCAGTAAAACTTAGCTCATCAGCAAAAATCTTTCTATGCATTTCTGGGCCATCTCACCAGCCTTTAACAATTTTATTTAATTTTCCTGATATTTGAAACTTCTTGCAGTGCCTGTGTAAAGGTAGAGAATTTTAGGTAGTATAAATACATAACTATCAGACATTTTCCTGATAAACCTACTTGGAAAGAACAATGGTCTCAAACATTTCATCTATTACACACAACTCATGATAAAAGAGCACCAACTGTCTCAACTCAACAGAGGAAACACCTGGAGCCACCATGAGCAGTGTGTAAATTTTTATTGTTGAATTTTAAGATACTTAATATGTTTCCTCCACATCTTTAGCAACAGCTTCCTCCTTGTGGCTTAAAGAGGTTAGATTCTGCTTTTCTTTTATCCGTTTCGTGGTTTACAAAACTCAGGTGGCTCAAAACTCCTTCCTCTTTACTTTGGTGTTCCACAAGGACTAATTCTTGGTCCTCTGAGTATTATATTTTCTAATTAATTACCCTTCCTTAAATTTAAACAATCAATTTCCCAACACAATTCCCAACATTAGCCAACTTTGCAGATTGCTTCATATTGCTGTATTTAGATCACTACTGGTAACCAGGGACCTACCAGAGCTCACAGAAATGATATACTGTTATAACTCCAGCACTTCCTTAATTGCGGTCTGTTTGGGGTTTTTTGTGATTTATTTTTACATTACTGTGGGGGAGGGGGCGGGGGGGCTCACCCTCAATTTCTGAAATTTCTTAATATTCTGTAATAAAGAGTATGAAGGTTTTTGTGGTCGAAGAAAAAAACAATATAAAAGAGACTGAAATTATAACTGATGATGTCGAGTTTTCTAAAAGTAAAAAATAAAGAAAATCTGTATATGTTCTTCCACCAGAGAAGTAGAGAAGTTCATAAATAATCTAGCAGAGTTAAGCATTTAAATCTAAAGCATTTTTACCTTACAAATTCAGTCACAGTAATCTGTCCACGTGTTCAGACCAAATGGGGAAAAAAAACGTTTAAAAAAATGGTCAATAAATTTGCTGAAAGTTTGAAGTCCACCAGGAAGGGTTCCTTTGTACACCACGCTACACAGTGTCCTTGAAGAGTGACAGGGAAGCATTTCATTCTGGAGAGTTTCCCATTGTGGGATAAGTCACAAGCACAATCCCTTGGTCTCGTCTCCACTGCCCATCCTTCCTGTAACACAGTTCGTTTCTGAGTTTTTGTATCTGTATACCATCTGCTCACAAGTTCTTGGTGTTTATGTGAGTCTTGTAATGCTTTGTCAGGTGGTCGCTCCGCATGAAGCGTTTCTGACACTGGCTGCACTCAAAGCGCTTGTCTCCTGTGGGAGGGAAAAAAATTAATTGAGTAATATTTTTAATGCACTTTCAATAATGAAGAAACAAAAGGTGTTTTTAAAAACGTAATTTGTAAAAACGTAATTTGTAAAACGTCTGGATTGTTAAGTTTTTAAGTGTATTTAGCAACTCTGTGTGCCTATTTTGCCTCTGTATTGTAGCATGTGAAGTTTAACACAGAGTGATTTGACGATTCTGTTTGTTTGTTTGTGTCCACAGCACCTGTGTGCGTCCTGGCGTGCCTCTGCAGCTCGTCACTGCGCGTGAAACGTTTCCCACAGAAAACCCAGTTGCAGACGAAGGGTCTTTCGCCAGTGTGCAGCCGGACATGAGCTCTGAGCAGAGATGTTTTCCTAAAAGTCTTTTCACAGCCGGGGACGTGGCAGATGTGTTTCCTCTTTCCCACCTCACTGGGTCTAAACAGTGAACAAAATCCAAACCCTTTATCAGTATGAGAGTTTTAATAGTCTGAGTGCTAAAAAGTATAATATGAACTTCCCAAAATGTAGAATTGATCCCAACCCATCCTTTGACAGACTCACCTCTTGTCTGCATCTTTACAGTTGGGGCAAGTGCAGGCCATGCGTCGTTTCTTTTCTCCTGGCTGGCCAGGCAACTCCAGGGTGAGGGTCTGGTCTACCTGAATAGCAGGCTGGCCCTGTGCTGCTGCCAGCTGGAGCCCTCCACCCTGCATGGTCTGCACCGTTAGGTGCTGCTGGCCTAACAAATGAGAGACTCATTGTAAGACAAACAGCAGGGCTTCTGCAGGAGCTGGATAATTCAGTTTACTGCCATCAGTGATTCTAATCAACAATAAATTAAGATTCGAAAGCTATACGTTGCAAAATAAAATTTTGTTTTTGTTTTGTTTTTAAACACATTGCAAACTTTCAGCTGCTTTTGCTCTTTGACTGAGGAAAAGGTCAACATTATTCTTTATAAACATAAATAACTGACAACTGCTAAAGTTATTTTATCCATCCGTTTGACTGCTTATCTGGGTTTAGGTTGGAGGGGCAGCAGACTTCCCTCACCCCAGCCACCTCTTCTTCATCTGGACAGACAGAGAGTCATCCCCAAGCCAGCCAACAGATATAAACTCTCTCAGATCCAGGTCTGCTATCTTTAGCACCAGACCTGGGTCTGACCTGAGGCCTCTTTCCAGTAGGAGATGCCCAAAACACCCCACTTCAGAGGCATCGATAAAGCATCCTCATCAGACGGTCAAATCATTTTTCAATGTGGAGGAGCAGTGCTTCTATTCTCAGTGAATATCTTCAGCAGCAATAACATGAAGTAATTGTTTTCTGT